CCCATCCCTACATTCACGGGGAAGAAATGGGACTGGGATAACTTCTGGGCCTCGTTTAAGGCCAATATGCACGACCAGGAGCTAACGGAACTCCAAAAATTTTAACTACTTGCTTTCCTCTTTGAGTGGAGAGGCGAAGCAATCAATACCTCGGTTCTTCGTTTCGGCAAATAACTACGAGAAAGCCATTCAGCACCTTGCCAAACGATACGGGGATAAAAGTGGCATAGTACGACAGCTGAACAGGAATCTGAATAGCTGTTCAGCAAGAAGACCAAGCACATTGGAGCAAAGACGATTGTGGGACAAGCTAGCAGCAATAGCCAATCAGTTGGAAATACACGAGCAGCACCTGGATAACGAACTAACAATCGACACTTTTTTAGAGAAATTCCATGTACGCATACGAAGAGAAGCAATGGACAAACAGTTGAGGAGCGAAGAGGGAAATAAACAGAATGGACACTAAACCAATGATTGGACGCCATTGATGAGGCCATTTCACGAGAGGAACAGCTAAATGACAGACTCTCGGCGGAAGCGCAGCAGATCAAAACTCCGGCACCGACATACGTGAGAAGAGGCAACGTGTGCGAGTGCTGTGGAAGCAAAGGACACAGGTGGACGACCTGCCCGCAAATTCCCACAACAACGCAAAAGGAGGAATTTTTGTTGGAGTCCAACCGATGTTTAAACAGTGGGGCAAACATCACAGAGTAGCGGCATGCTTCAGCGGCAACTGCCGAAACTGCAACAAAAAACATTACACGGCGATAAGCTCAGAAAAAAGGCCAAGTGAAATGACACAAAGCAGATCACCTACCAGTCAAGAGAAGAAGCCGGAGGGAGTGAAAACACCAAACCAGCCGACGGCAGCTGCTAAATCCTACAGTTCTTCGAAACAAAATGCGGTAACGGAGACGCTCGGGCAAGACACTCATCTTACAAAACAAGGAGCAACGGAAAGTGCCGACTCTCCAACCGTATTACAGTTAAAGAAGAAGATTGGGAACAAAGTAGGGTAGTCCTACTTACGGGAGCAATACAAGTGTTTGACGCCGACGGAAACAAAAGAGAAACTGTCGTCTTATTGGACACAGGCTCGGAACTCTCATTTATTGGAGAGCAGCTCGCGAACGAGCTTAGACTGCCAGCGCTAGGCACAACTTCTCTCGAGCTCAGCACATTCGGGTCATCCTCACCGAAAACGAAACTGTGCGTTAACGCTTTTGAAGATGGTGGACAAGGAGGGTACTCAGCATGAACTGCAGCTGTATAAGAACGACTATATTGCAAGCACCGTACAACGAGCGTGCCTCTGTCATGAAGATTTGCGGTTTATCAAGAGAGGGGATTTCGACTTGTCGTTGCCGATAGGAGGTGAAGAGTTGCAGCCACAAATATTACTAGGTTGCGACCATCTCTGGAACTTCATGGAAACAAGCAACAAATTGAGTCTACCATCTGGACTGCAGTTGATACCAACGAAATTAGGGTACATCATCAGCGGATGACAAGGAGACATCCCCACGAAATGGTCGGTATCGTGCACTCTGCAAGGATACGAAATCGAGAAGGAGACATGGGATCGCTACTGGTCTCTGGAATCTGCCGGCACAGAAGAATTTACTGGGTCACAGCAAACGGAACTTTAACAAATAAACGAAAAAGTGCTAGAAAACTTCAAGAAGTCTATCGAAAAGAGAGAAGATGGCTACAACGTACGCCTACCGTGGAAGGAGAATCATCCACAACTCCCAGACAACAAGGCACTAGCAATGAAACGCCTCATCAGAACTCTAGAGATGTATCAGGGCGATACTGAAATGTTGCAGGCATACGATAACGTCTTCAACGATCAACGCGACAAGGGAATAATCGAAGAAGTAGCACCGAAGGACGCATACAATGGAGATAAGGATTGTCCCTGCCTCAATGATGTGCTCCATCAAGATCCTCTTAATTTGCCTGATCTTGTCGGGATCTTACTTCGATTTCGGATTCCGAATATCGCAGTGATGTCGGATATTGAATAAGCATTCCTGCAGATACAAGACCGAGACCGAGATACAACGCGCTGTATTTGGGTCAGGAATATCTCACTCCCACCCACACCAGATAACATAGTGATCTACAGGTTCACCAGAGTTACCTTCGGACTCAATGCTTCCCCGTTTCTGCTAAGCGCTACGATAGATCACCACCTAGAAACCACAGCGAATGATGACGACATGGCCTCGGAAATAAGAAGGAATTTGTGCGTGAACAACTTATTCTTTGGTGCACAATCTTCAAACGAAGCACTTCTGAAGTATGCACACACAAAGAAGCTCTTCCAAGATCTCAAAATGTACTTGAGGAAATTCTACTCCAGCGACAAAACCTTCTACAACAAGGTGAACTCCACCTGCCAAAAGGTCTTAGGCATAGCATGGAGTTCGGAAACGGACAAGTTCATTATCGAAGGCTCGATGGCAACCTTGAAAGGAAAAGATACCAAGCGAACAGTCACACAACAACTTGCTTCTGTGTATGATAGTGCTTACAAGATGATGTTGCGGCAACTGAGACGAGGGGATAAGAGGTTTACAACTGGAGGCGATGTAGCAAGCGATAATTGGGAATCATCTAATCCTACTTTTCTATGCTATGTGAGAAAGAGCAGCATCTACTCAGATAACCGCCGGGGGCAGGCGGCCTGCGAATTTTGAGCAAGCGCGCACCGGAAAAATAGTTCGTTGATTTTTTGCGGCCCGTTTGCAGAAATTTGGAAGAAAGTTGGCGAAATTAAAGACGAATGCTTGAAGAACAATCGCGGTTTCTTTATGGATTAGCTGCGGCGCAGTGGCCGCATTCTCGCGGACTTTCCGCGAGAATATGCAAAAATTTCGGGGGCCGCACGGTCCTTTGTGGAGGATCGCGCAACCCCCAGGTACTTTCCGCTGAGAGAAAGTACCTCAAACTTGAGTAATTAAACCAACTGTGACACCTCTGCCACACAGAGTCTTACCTGCGCTCGACGTACGCCCGAAAATGCCTAAGAAAAGTACGAGCGCTTGCTGAAAGTTTGGGCAGCGCTCGCTGAAAGAAATTATTTGCCGAGCGCTTGCAAAAAATGCTGTATTGCTGCCCGCTGGCAGAATAGGAAGTGCCGCCCGCTGAAGGTTTGGCCACGCCCCAAAATTCTGCTGACCGCCTGCAGAAAAGCGCGAGTTTGCGGACCGCCTGCCCCCGGCTATTATCTGAGTATACTGTTCTCACAACATTGTCAAAAGGTTAGACGCGATCGCAAGCTTGATTAAACGAATGACATTCAGCTATGTGCGAGCTAATGGCAAAAGCATTTCTAGATGAGATGAACGTGGGAACGGTTTTCGAATAAAGCCTAACTTGTACTAACCGCAGTGACCTACAGTGAAAAAGCAAAACTTGAATGGTTTACAGGGTGGGGCAAAAATCTGGGAGCCTAGTACTTTTTCGTACAAAACGAGAAGGGAAGTACCTAGAAACGAGAAATTTGGCGCACACATAATTCGAACCATTGCATATACAGCTCAGTTTTTGGATTTCAAATTTGCCTCTTTTGGCTTCCACGCGGGCCTACAAAATCTTGGCAAGTCCACCTGTCATGGCACGCCGGTAGTCGTAATGGAATTCGCCCCACGCCTTCACAATAACTGCTTCTTTTACCTTGGCAAATGTGCAGCACGATAGAGCAAGCTTTTATCTACAACATGCTTCCAAAAGAATTTTTTGCATTGCTTAGGAATAAAACTATTGGATTTTCAATTAGAAGCATGTGTACGTCGCATACCGGAATTTTGGCTACAACTGCGCGAATAAAAACTTAAAATTATCGTTTAAAAAGTATAAAAAGTGTCCCCATGGCCGAATTTCAATAGATTTTAATTTAGAAGACGTATGCAAAAAATACAGCCTTGGTCACTGCGCCTGTTGAGCATTCCATAGCTTTTAAATTTGTTTTGAAGACGGATTTCCACTGGCACGTAGATAACATTCGCAAACTTTTATTTTCCGTTTATGCAAGAACAGCTCCTGGCAAAAACAAAACTAGGATACATTAGCGCAAAGCCTCTTCTATGTTGTGTGCTCTCTAGCTACAGCAAAAATTGTAAATACTAAAAATTCTGGTTTTTTCGCTTTGCAAAAGTACTAGTTTGGTAATTTCCATTTAAACAAAAACATATGGCAGCCATTTCCAGCCAAATGAAGTGTATTCTGTAGAGGATGACCGCAGCATCATCTGGCATAAAATTGAAATCAAAACCATCAGTATCTTTGTAATTGCAGTACTGCAAAGTTAGGCTCCCAGATTTTGCCGCACCCTGTAAAAATAAATTTACAAGTACAAAGCGTACTTGTATTACTCGGAGGTCGGTGACGACAAGCTGAATGATGAATAAAATTTGTTTCTGTTGGCAAAAGATTTGCCTTACCTGTTGGCTATTGTAACTTCCCCAAAAGTCTCAGGTAAAAATTTGAAAATTAGCGAAAGTTGGACCTGGTGAACAAGAACGGTTGTAAATTCTAGCGATTATCTCAGCATCTCTCAACAAAATAAATACCTTGTAAATACAGCAGCTGGAAAGAGAAAAAAATTCTGCATTGAATGCCCTTTATGTGCTTCTCTTTTATTCTACCACCGGTGGATTCAAAAAACTAACAAAACTTTTGCACCGACTAAATATATTTCGAGACATAACTTTTCTTCGCCGATTTCAAGAGGAACTTCTATGGGTTCTATGCATCACAAGTTCAACTGTGTAATTTGAGGTCGAGAGGTGAAATGGTCATAAAGAGAATGAGAGGACAAAGTTTGAAAGCTCAATAACTCAATCAATTGTTATTGGCACTCTACTTATATCTGTTCGTGCTGGTTGAATTTATTCATACAAGTTGTTACAGTATGTGGGTTCCTCTTCCGGCATAGACTTCCCCAATGTGAACGCGCTAACAGATAGTAAGATGGAAAAACTGACGAGTACTACTGTTTCTAGCACATTTTTGTAGAGAGAAAAGAGTATGCACTTTGAAGTCCTGAATAGGGACAAAGTTCCATGTACGAAGAGAAGTCGATCCAGGTGGTGGAACTGCAAAATAATTGGTACAGAGGTCACATAATATAAATTTTGAACCTGCGTGATGGTGTAGTCTGAAGCCAATGCGGCCTGCATACCCTCTTGTCCTGCCACTCCAACACCGACGTCGGCTTCTTGTAGCATAGCAACGTCGTTAGCACCATCACCTATGGCCAAAACCGCTCCGCTTACATTAGCTTTGACGAGTCTAGTAACGGCAGCCTGAAAAGATCTTTTTACAGTTTGCACAAGTCCAAGTAGACAAGTCTTTATCTTTACTGAAACGTTCTGAACACACCTAAGTAAACAAAAGAAAGAAGGAGAGGAAGAGAGAGAAACATATGAAAGAGAATGAAAGCATTCAAATAGCAACCGAAAGCAGATGGCATTGTGATTAAGAATAGGACGTCTAGCAAGAGCATGGAATTAACCCAAAGCTTTCAAAGAGCGCACTGCTCCAGCAGTTCTGAAGTCATTCACAATGGGCAGTATTCCTGATCAAAACTTTAATCTCAACAGCGTTTTGGCTTTGAGGGCTCCCATTTTCAGCATACCTCACTTTTCCTGGAGAAATACAATCAAAAATCTTTAACTAATCAAATCTACATCTTCCGTTGAGATTTCGTAAGCCAATAAAAGGCCGCATTTTTTATGCGCTGAATAGAGTAATAACAACTGCTACTAGTCTTGCGCCCTTGGCTCAAAACTTCCTGCTTGGGAACGATCCACAGAAGGATACGGGTGCTCCAAAATTTGAAAAAAACGAGTTTAGTTGCCAAGGATGGCTGTGAGAAATTGTGCTACTTTGGAACGGACCAGTAGTGGCTTTGCGTATGTTACACCTCATAATCCTCTGTTAAGAATTAAGGGATACCAAAGGACAAGAAAATGAATCGTCATTTATGATGGTTGCAGAAGAACAATTCAAATATAGTGCTATGTGGTTCTGAAATGCGGCCCAATGATGTTGTCGTACAGAAGTTGAAAAATGCTCAATGAGAAGTGCACAGAGATGGTTCGAGTTTACGTAGCTAAGGCCAAAAGCATACCTCCCGCGAGTACAATCGTTGCGCGATTTGGCACTGCAATGACTCTCCATCTCAGACAATCGCCGGGGGCAGGCGGTCCGCAAACACGCGTTTTCCTGCAGGCGGTCAGCAGAATTTTGGGGCGTGGCCAAACCTTCAGCGGGCGACGCTTCCTTTACTGTCTAATGTTCTGCGAGCGGGCAGCAACACAGAATTTTCTGCAGGCGCTCGTCAAATAATCTCTTTCAGCGAACGCTGGTCAAATTTTCAGCTGGCGCTCGGGCGGTTTTTAAGCAGTATCGGGCGTACGCCGAGCAAAGGTGAGAGTCTACATAGCAAAGGTGTCATCGATGGTTTAATTACTCAAGTTTGAGGTACTTTCTCTCAGCGGAAAGTACCTGGGGGCTGCGCGGTCTTCCACAAAGGACCGTGCGGCCCCCGAAAATTTTGCATGTTCTCGCGGAAAGTCCGCGAGAATGCGGCCACTGCGCCGCAGCTAATCTGTAAGGAGTTCTCCAAGCATTCGCCTAAAATTTCGCTAAAATATTTCCAAATATCTGCAAGCGGACCGCAAGATACCAGCAAACTATTTTTCCGGTGCCCGCTTGCCCAAAAATCGCATGGCCGCCTGCCCCCGGCGATTATCTGAGATCAAGGACATTTTTGCCATCTAGAGTGTTACCTTTACTCGGCGTACGCCTGAAACTGTGTAGCAAGAATCGGAGCGCTCGTTGAAAATTTGGCCAGCGCTCGCTGAAAGAAATTAGTTGACAACCGCCCGCAGAAAATTCTATCGCTCGCTGCCGCTTGCAGATCATGCGACAGTAAAAGAACTTACCGCTTGCTGAAGGTTTGGCCTCGCCCCAGAGTTTTGCTGACCGCCTGCCCCCGGCGATTGTCTGAGTAAGCGCGCTTTGCTTGAGCCAGACTTCATGCTTTTGCGGTAACTTACAGCAACTAATCAGATAATCGCCGGGGGCAGGCCCCATGCGAATTTTGGGCAAACGGGCACCGGAAAAATAGTTCGTTGTTTTTTTTGAAGTCCGCTTGCAGATATTTGGAAGACAAATTTCAGACGAATGCTCGGAGAACGATTGCGATTTTTTATAGATTAGTTGCGGCACAATGGCCGCACTCTCGCGGCCTTTTCGCGGGAATATGCAAAATTGCTAAAGGCCGCACGGTCTTTTGTGAAGGACCGCACAGCCCGTAGGTACCTTCCGCTGAGAGAACGTACCCCAAACTCGGGTAATCCATCGATGGCACCCCTATTATGCAGAGTGTTACTTTTGCTCGGCGTACGCCCTAAACTACATAAAAAGAGTCCGAGCGTCTGCTGAAAATTTGGCCCGCGCTAGCTGGAAGAGATTATTTGACGAGCGCTTGCAGAAAATCTTGTCCTGCTGCCCGCTGGCTGAACATGGAAGTACAGCTCGCTGAAGATTTGGCCACGCCCCAAAATTTTGCTGACCGCTTGCAGAACGCGAGTTTGATAAAGTTCGATAACCGCCTGCCCCCGGCGATTATCTGATTAAGCTGGAACCTGAGCATTCGAAACCTGAGCAGATTAATCTGCAGACATCTGACAAGGAAAGGATGGTTGGTCGAAGTGGCCTTTTGGGATGAGTTGTATACCATGTTAGAGAACATAAAACGATGATTCCAAATCTGTCTTCCTTATCTGCGGCGCGTTCCTGCACGAGAAGTTATGAGCGAAAAGAAGTTATGAGTGCAAATAATACAAAAACAGTACTAACATTTTCCATAGCGCTTAAATGGACCAGTGACAATATTTCTAGCATTCTATAAAATAAATACTTTTAGGTAAGATCTATCAGGTTGTAACAGAATTAATGCAGGTTTTTTAAGCACCTTTTTCAAAATACTGGTTTAGAAAGCAAAAGTGTTTTTCCAGAGAGTTTTGCAAATCATTTGGAAGCTCTTTTCCTCTAGTTTCTTATGCATTTTTTTGTTTCAGTGGAAGTGAATTTTTCTAGAAGTTCTGAGGCCATAAATACAAGAAACCAAATCTCGAAATTTTTTTCAATATACCTGGCTCTAAAACCACCATAAACAAGCAAAATTCGCTGCAAATTTACATAGTATTTTCAAGTGAGCTATGTTACAAAATGCATGTTGAACCATGAATTCTGAAAACATCTGAGCCGCTGTGGTCCGTCTGCCTTATATAAAAATCCTCAGCGCGAAGCGACTGCGGAGCTTCCGCTTAATATAGGAAGAATAGATTTTAGACATTCATTTCCGAAAAAATCGGGAGCCGTTCTCCCTATTCAGCTTTTAAAAATTCAAAAGTTTCAGAGAAGCGATTTTTTCAAATTCTCAGAAAAGTCGAAAAATTGAGTACTTTCAAAATTTTTTCAAATATCCTCTTTCAAAGAAATCTTTTTCAATTCCGAACTTAGCATTGCTGCACAACCGACCATAGGCTACATAGTGAGTCAAATTTGCGCTACGTTACTGCATTTGATAGTAAGTTAAGGTTTCTCAAAGTGAAGGTTTTCCGAAAAAATTTTTGGCCGAATTGGGCTATAAGATTTTTCTCAGTAAAGCTACAACAACTCAATAATGCGTACTGAGTTGAGAAATGTTTGCTGATTACAAGAATTCTTGTTGGACACGAAAAGACTGTTTGTGTAAAAAGTTATAATGATCCAAACACAAAATACAAAAAACCTGCATCAATTCTGTTACAACCTAATATCTGCACTCCGGCTGTCGCATTCAAGCGCTGGAAAAACTTTAGCAACTGTTCTTATCCCAGAAAAACGTTCATTTTTTTGCACCTTCAAACGCACATAAATCCTCGTCCAGGAATGCGCCGCAGATAAGGAGAACAGATTTGGAACCAGCATTTTACGATCTCCAACATGGTTTACAAGGCGTCGCAAAAGGTCACTTCCACTGACCATCCTTCCCTTGTGAGATTGCCAAGTTGCTCGAATGTAGAGTTTAACGGAATCACTGGGTATGCTTCAAAGGCAAAGTCCAAGCACCTGCCCCAGTATCGTACTCAGCGGACCAGACTTGCAGGTTTTGCGCGGGATCCTGCTCGTGGGCGGTGGGTCCGCACGCAGTGGCAAGCAACCCGAGGCAAGTCGTTCCTCAAATACGGTATCGGGGTCTGGTTTGGGGGGGGGGGATATATCAGTTACATGTGCACCATCTGCGCTGCCGTTTGGGGAATGTCTTACTTAGACCTCCAGAATCAGTCCGGGTGCGATTTCATGTGTCTAGATCTGCCTGAACACGGCCTTTAAGCCTAAAAAGACAGGCGAGTCGGTGAATATTTTTCATTCAGCGCTTTTAGCACTGTTCGCCCAGAATGAGGGTGATGAGGTTTTGACGCTATCTTGGATTGATTCCAGTTCTGCCGCTTTCGCTATGTAAACGTATTCACCTAAAATCTCATTAGAAAAGGATTCATCAATTTTCTATAGTGATCTACCCTACCTCGTGACATCATAGATGCCGGCAATTCAGCACACTGCGGAAAGCGCCAACTCCGGCGGCAGTTCGGAATGGTTACAGGATTTGATATTTTATATTATCTTGTTATTAATCCTCAGTCACTGTTTCTACAAGTATTTTGACAACGCAGTCCTCCGCAAATGCTTTTGAACCTCCATGCGTTGACTTCGAGCGCGGTCCGGCTAATCAATAGCCCACTCGGTCACTTATTGTTGTTCGCAAAACAATACCCGGAACGCACAGACAGATGACGCCTGTGAAAGGGCATAATCAATACATACAGGATGCGCCAATTATTTGTGGCGTGTTTAGCCTCTAACCGCGTGTATTTCTAAGCGCCTTAAGACCGGCTCAGCGAGAGATCAAACTTGATATGGTTTTCGTGATTCTATAACATTGTATCCTAGTTGAAAGATGTAAAATTGCCTGTTTTGCTTCTCGGGAAATTTATAGTATTTCTTTGACTTTGTCATGCGGTACACGCGGGTAGAGGCTCACAAATCTGCCCGAAGTTTATCTTTTCAATGACCGCTTTTCTCAGATAAAGTTTTTGCTATAAAGTAGAGTAGCTAATCTTTGACTTCAAAACCACTTAGTATTGGAATTTGGGAGCATTAAAAAAAAACTTTTGGCACTGCTTTGGATATTTTATCGCAAATAATTTTGGCGCATCGTGTAAATTGCAATAGACGTTGCAATACAATT